TTTTCTCTGGTCACACACACACACACACACACACACACACACACACACACACACACACACACACACACACACACACACACTCTCTCTCTCTCTCTCTCTCTGTGGCATCTCTGCCCCCCCCCCTCTCTCCCTCTGTTTTTGCCTCTATCCACTAATGTTGACGCGTGTGCTGTTGTTGCATTGTGCGTTGCGTTGCGCCCTGCAGGGAATGTACTTTGTGTCAATGGTGATCCTGATGCGCATGAACGTGCCCATCAAGTACAGGTGTGTGTGTGTGTGTGTGTGTGCTTAAAGGTTGCCTGCGTGCACGCAGAACTGCATTCCACCCACCGCCTGCGTTGGAGAGCCCACTACGTATGTGTGGGGCACATCCACAAACACACACACACACACACACACACTGGCGCACACATACAAACACACATATACAAACACACACACACACTCACTGACATGTGTATGCATGTATGTGTGTGCACTGATGTGAATTCAGGGGCATCATCACGGAGGTGCTGGATGGAGTGGAGTTTAACTTCTACCACAACTGGTTTGACAAGATATTCTTGGTCAGTCGGCACACATGCACATACACACATAGACACATGCAAGCACACACACACACACATGCATACGTATGCGCAGCCTAACAGACAGATGGATCGAACAGTCACACGCAAATACAGACGCAGTCACATGAACACACACTTGCACACACGGACACACTTGCACACACGGACACACACAGACACATGGACACACACAGGCACATGGACACAACAGAGGCACATGGACACAACAGAGGCACACACACACACACACACACACACACACATAACCCATGCGTCATCGGTTTTGCTTGCAAGCACTCATTCGCCAGCCCGCCTGTTGTTTGTGTGCAGTTGAGTGCGGTGTCGTGTGCCGGCGTTATTTATTTCGCGCACAGCACATCTGCGAGCAGATTCAAGTTCTAGGAACACAGACACGAGTGCAGGGATTTGGACGCACAGCCTTGCACACACAGACGCACACACACAGACGCACACACACACACACACACACACACACACACACACACACACACACACACCACACACACACACACACACACACACACACACACACACACACACACGCGCACACACACAAGCGCTGCGCGTGGTTGTGTATTATTGTCTAATGTTGTTGACTATCAGCAACAGCTTCATGTAGAAAAGAGTAAACGACCATCTGAATGCCAGGTGCCTCTCGTAATGTGTGGCTGTGATTCACTATCATGGCTGCTGCTGTTGGTTGATTACATCATCTTGCTTCTCTTCTCGCTTCCTTGCTCTTGTTGTTGTCGCTTCCCACGCTTCCCCTTCTTGTTCTTGTGCTTCTTTCCTGCACGCTTGCCTCCCTTTCCCTCTCCCGGCTGCTGCTGCTGCTGCCTAGTTGCGTGTTGACTATGTGGTTGATTCGTCGGCTGCTTCACTCCTGTTCCATTGCCCTTGTTGTTGGCGCTTTTCGCTCTCTTGTCCTGCTTCATCTTGCTGCTGTTGTGACCGTCGCCGTCGTGCTTCGCACCGGTCTTGTGCACGTCCGTCGCTGCCTCCGTATCCGTTGTCGTTGCTGCTGCTGCTGCTGCTTGCGCGTTGCGGGTATAGATATAAAACTGCAGGGTGCCGCGCTTATACTTGGCCCGCAGTGTAGTGGTTAGCGAGAGGCACGGCACCTCAAGCGGGCGGGATGTGGAGATGACGCGCGTGCCCGGGCGCAGGTGCTTCATCTGGGCTGTGAGGGCAGCCATCATCTCCTCCGTGAAGCATGTGCACGGGCAATAGAGGATGTCTGCGTCCAGCCACAGGTTGGTGAGCGCAAAGCTGTCGCCCAGGACGACGCTGCACTTGTTGCTTGGGGTTGGCGCATCTGGGCACTGGCTGTAAAACCGCTCCTTCGCCTCGGTTGCCAGCTCGTGCAAAGGCTTGACAATCTCCACACCAACTGCACTGCCCAGTTGGTACTGGCCAGCAGCCAACAGCACGGCCTTTCCTGTTCCAGATCCGATGTCCACAAACTTGTCTCCCTCACGTGGCTCTGCTGCCTCCAACACATTCAAAAACCCAGCAAAGTCAATTTCTCCTGTGTGTGTGTGTGTGAGAGTGTGAATGAGAGAGAGAAAGAGAGAGAGAGAGAGAGAGAGAGAGAGAGAGAGAGAGAGAGAGTGTGTGTGTGTGTGTGTGTGTGTGTGTGTGTGTGTGTGTGTGTGTGTGTGAGTGAGTGAGTGAGTGTGCGTGTGTGTGAATGTGTGAATAACAACCACACGTGTATGCATGTGCGAATAACAACCACACGTGTATGCATGTGCGAATAAGAAGCACACGTGTGTGCATGAGGCACCTGCAACATCCAAAACAAACACCCTTGTGACGCCGCCTCGCCATATCCCTTCCCCCCCCCCCACACACACACACACAATGGACATACCGTATTGCAGTGCCTCTGTCTTTTCAAACTGCCCTGCTTTCCGCAGGCGCGTCCGCTCTTCCCGTGCCACCGCATATCCATCCACACGCTCATACACCGCTTCCAACACGTGCAGCGAGCCACCACCACCAACCACCATCTTCACAGTCGTCTTCTGTTGCCCCAAAATGCGAAATTTGGTTAAAAACATCCACCATTTATCCACAATCTCTGTGTTTGTGTTTGGCTTGCTTGCTTGTGCTGTGTGCTGTTGTGGTGAGCGCTGCGACACTCCACCCCCTTTGCTGTTGCTGTCGAGTGCGTGTGCGACGAGGTGAGGGTGCTCAGCGTATGCACTGACACTGGCTGAACGTGCTGTACACGGACATACTCCCAATACAAGAGAGCAGGCCGGCTAGCAAGCATGTTTACGCTTCGCAGGCGGAAGAGCAGCAACAGCGAGAGTGAGGGCGTGGTACGTTTGTGTGTGTGTGTGTTGGTGGTTTTGTGCGGACAGGACTGCGTTGCTGCGTTGTGCGCAGGGGTTTCGTGCTGATGAAACTGCCCTTTTGAGGTCTACACTGTCGACGTGAGGGGTGAGGATGTACGCTCGTGCTTCTTGCATGTATGTGCGCCTTTCACGGACAGTCGTTGGTTCGTTGCATTTCGCTGTGTTGCAGGTTGATCGGCACACTGCCCAGTCGCCATGGTACCGCGGCAATGCCGTTCCAGATCTCATCATGCAGGAAGTGGATGGTCAGTCGCTGTCATGCTTTGTGTGCGTGTGTGTATGTGTACATGTGTACGTGTATGAAGAACTGGCAGGTTCACTTGCTGTTGCATTGCTTTGGCTCATGTCTATACTCTGTTCACACGCATGTCACGTGTCCGTCTGTTACGCAAACGCCTGTGTTGCACTTCTCTCTGACTGCCACCCACTCAAACTACACTTTCATTCATGCCCTGTACATTTGAACAGACAAGCCTGAGGGCTACTTCCTCATCCGTGACAACGCCGGCGAGCCAAACTGCTTCATCCTCACATATCGGTAATAGGTGTTCCACGTCCCATGCCCAACAAGTGCAAGACGAGGAAGACTGTCTGGAAGCAACACACGCGCCCAGCAAGGCCCAAATCCTCACACACATACACACATACACACACACACACACATGCTGACTGTCACATCATGTCATCATGTCCGTTGACAGTGGGACCGGCCCCCAGACGCGGACGGTGCACATCACGGGAACGCCCGAATCTGTGAGCATTGCAGGCGCCGCGCAGCAGTTTCCAAACCTCCTCGAACTCGTTGCCTACTACAGGTGCACACATGTCTGTGTGTGTGTGTGTGTGTGTGTGTGTGTGTATGTATGTGTGTTTATGTGTGTGTGTGTATGTATGAGTGTGTGTGCACATGTGTGTGTACGCTTGCAACAGCTGCAAGTGTGACCGCGTGTCTGAGCATGCTCACGGATTCGACATCTGCTGGTCTTCGCTTGCAGCAAACCAAACGACGTACTGGCCGGGCGATTGCTGGTGCGTCTGCGCAAACAGCTCGTGCTTTGCTGGTGACATTGCTCTGTCGTTGCGCACGTACACACGCCTGTTGTAGCCCCTTGCAGCACACGACTGAACTGCAGCTCACGTGTGAATGTGATTGTGTGTGTGTGTGTGTGAAAACGTGTGATATTGTTTTGTTGCGCTGCAGCCTGACGCCAAGACGCAGAAAGTGATTGCAAATGTCGACAAGGCCAAGCAGAAGACGCTCACAAAGTCAATCGTACGTGTATGCGTGCCTTTGTGTGTGTAATGTGTGTGTGTGTGTGTGTGTGCGCGCGCGTGTGTGTGTGTGTTTTGTCTGTGTGTGTGTGTGTGTGTGTGTGTGTGTGTGCGTGTGCGTGTGTGTCTACTGTTCTACCCACTCACGTGCGCGCCCAATTGTCCCGCCTGCACCTGCAGAGGATGAATCTGAAAGCGAGCCAGAAGAAGGGCACCATCAAGGTGGGTTGCTGCATGTCATGCCTCGCCTATGATGAGCTCGGCCTTGCACTTCATTTCACACGTACACACATACATACACACACACACACACACACACACACACACACACCTCCGTCACCTCGTCATCACCACCCCTATTGTGCGTGTGTGTGCGTGTGTACAGCGGCTGCCCGGTGCGAAGTACCGCCCAGCAGATGTCGCCGACCTCCTCATCAGCAGGGTTGGTGGTGGTGATGGTGTGTATTGTTGTCAGTGCTGGGGTGCGTTTTGGTTGCAGGTGGTGTGGTGTGTGCGGTGGAGGTGTGCTCTGTCGCTCAGGTCCCTCTCACATAACCACATCCAACGCCATTGTACATGTGTACAGGGTCTGGGTGAGTACGTGCCGATTGTGAAGAACAACAAGATTGACGGCGTTTTGTTCCTGAGTTTGGACGACGCACAGCTGCAGGAGCTAGGCGTTGCGGTGAGCACGCACGATGGGGGTGATGATAGCTGTGGTGGTGGTGGTGGTGGTGGTGGTGGTGGTGATGGTGACGGGTGGTGGTGGTGGTGGTGGTGGTGGTGGTGATGGTGACGGGTGGTGGTTGGTGTGGTGGTGGTTGTTGATGCCAGCAAAGAGTCGTCGTGCATGAAGAGTGACCGTTTCCTCACACGTTGCATCATCATCATCATCATCATCATCATCACTGCCATCATCGCCACCACTGCCGCGCTGTTCGCAGTTGCCTGAGCACCGACAAGGGATCCTGACACTGGCTGATATGTTGTTGCGACAGCTCGATGTAAGACAACGAAACCAAAATACACGCGCGTGTAACGCGCACTATGTGCTGTGGATTAGTGGCTTTTCACCCTACCCATCCCTCCAAACTCACACACACACACACACACGCACGCACATCCTCACACCCTGATGCCAACCCTACTTCGCCCCATAACCCCGTCCCCTACCCGCCACTACCACCGCCAGCCCGAGCGTGCGCAGGAGCGAGCGCGGGAGCGGGAGGAAGCGGAGGCGCGGAGGCGGGCAGAGGAGGAGAAGAAGGCAAAGCCAATCGGACTCGTGGCTCGCGAAATCGCCGGCAAGGTCGGCAGTTTTAAGGGGTGGTGATGGTGGTGATGGTGGTGATGGTGGTAATGATGGTGATGGTGGTAATGATGGTGGTGGTGGTGGTGGTGTTTGCGCTCGCGGCTGATGGATGGATGGGTGATTCTCCTGCCAACTGCATCCACTAACACACACACACACACACACACACACACACACACACACACACACACACACACACACTCTCTCTCTCTCTCTCTCTCTCTCTCTCTCTCTCTCTGCACACACGACGACGATGACGTCACACTCACACTCACACAATGCACGATACATAACGCGCGCGTGTGAGCAGCTGCACTTCTTTGACACGGAGACGAACCAGGAGATCTTCGACATTGATGCGCATCAGGCGCGAAAGCGGCGCGAGCTCGCCCTCAAGCAGGGCCACGCAGCACCGGTCCCCGCACAGCAGGTGGTGGTCGTGGTGGTGGTGGTGGTCGTGCTGTGGTAGTGGGCTGTGCATGCGTGTGTGTGCATGCGTGTGTGCGTGTACGCGTAAATGCATGTGCGTACGTGTAAATGCGTGTGCTTGATATCTCCAAGCGAGACAATGCTGTGTTTCACGGCCTCACCCCAAAACCACCACCACACACCGCAGGCGCCCCAAAACGTGTCTGTCGAGTACAACGAGGACTTTTACGGCGCTGCAGACTCTGTTGTTCCTGTTTCGCCGCCGCAGCCGCAACCGCAAGAAGACGACATGTACACGGCACTTCCACAGAGGTCAGCCGCGCGTTGGCCATGGTGGTTTGTTTTGGTTTGTATGTTGGTTGTGCGTATGTGGGTTGTTCGTATGTGTGTCACAACGAGAGAAGTGTATGATGAAGATGGTGGTGCTGGTTTGATGACTCTGCTCTGCTCAGGAACATCACTAGCTCTCTTACGATCTCTTTCACCAACCAACCAACCAACCAACCAACCAACCAACCAACGGCTCATCCATCCATCTTATCACCCTCCCTCGTCCACTGCAAGGTCGTTTGTGCCTGCGCCGGTGAGTGCTGCACCGCCACCGCTGGCGCCGCGCGGCCAGGCGCCAGCGCCTCTCCCACCACGACAGCCCGCCCCGCCGCCGTCATCAGATAGACCCCCAATCCCTCCACCTGTTGCAGGCAGGGCACCAGTACCTCCACCAACAGCAGACAGACCTCCCATCCCTCCACCAGCATCTGATAGACCCCCTATTCCTCCGCCATCAGCAGACAGACCTCCCATCCCTCCACCGACAGCAGACAGGGCACCCGTGCCACCACCCACCACCGCCACCACAGCAGCACCCACAGGCAGTGCACTGGACGACATTGAAGGGTACGGTGACCTGCCCGGCCCCACCCCCGCTGCACCCGTCGCACCGCCACCAGGCGGCTCGATGACGATGACGAACGCAACGCGACCCCCGCCCGTGCTGCCGCCGCGGCCTGGTGACAGCAGCACGCTGCCGGCCAAGGCATCTGGGTATGCGCAGCTGACGATGGCCAACCCTGCCATGGCGGATTCTTACGCCAGCCTCAACCCGCACAGGGACGGGCCCATCACTTTGCACACGGATGGCGACGTAAGCACGCGGTGTTCTTGCTGCTATTTGGAAAGGGGGGGGGGGTGGCTGTTGCTGTTGTGTGCGTGTGTATGCGTACGTGTATGTGTGTGTGTATGCGTATGTGTGTATGCGTATGTGTGTGTGTGTGTGTGTGTGTGTGTGTGTGTCCAATTCGCGTCTTTCGCACACATTCACGGTGCCCCATGTGATGTTGACCATGCCCTGTTCGCCATTGACGAGCCAGTCGATCATTGATGCTGCGACCCGCGCTGCCGCCTGGTTCGTCCCCACCTACGACGCAGCAAACGTAAGCGCACACACGCGCGCACGCACACGCACATCTACATGCGCTGGTGTCGTGCATGCACACACACATGAAGGCGCTATCACCATACTTATGCAGTGTACACACACACACACACACACACACACACACACACACACACACACACACACACACACAAC